CACAGCACATTGAATGCCAAGAACACTGGAGACGCCTAATAATCTCAAACCATCATAACGTGGATTCACAAAAATCACACAAAATCATCCTCTTCTCACATTATTATTACAATTTTGCTCTGGCTTTAGGTACAAATGAGAGAGAGAAAATAATTTGCGTAATAAGCAGAAGAAAGAATTTTCCACCATTCCTGTGGCTCTAATAATGTCTTTTGGTAATGTCAGTATTTGTCCATTCCCTGATCGTTTATTAAGCTCGTCCAGCATTCCAAGTATAAAAAATTCCAAGTAATCAAACCAGCCAGAATCTTTTATAGACATACCCCTATGCCCTTTCTCAGAAGTATCCTCAGTACTCCAAGGCTTCTGGCCTCCACTCCTATCTCAAACAAGTTGTTTTAAGCAGTTTAATTATTAGTAAAGTCACTTGGAGGAGTCATTGGGCTCATGCACATTATTTATTTATTAATTTATTTTTTTGGTGAAGGAGATTGGCCCTGAGATAACATCTATTACCAATCTACATCTTTTTTGCTTGAGGATGATTGTCACTGAGCTAACATCTGTGCCAATCTTCCTCTATTTTGTATGTGGGATGCCACCTCAGCATGATTTGATGAGCAGTGTGTTGGTCCACACCTGGGATCCAAACCTGCAAACCCCTGGCCACAAACGTGGAGAGCATGAACTTAACCACTACACCACTGGACCAGCCCCTCATGCATACTATTTATTAAAGTTAAGATGCACAAAGTAAATTTAGTTATTGAGTTCAAGGAGAAGATAACTTTCACCCCTTTACTCTTCCTGGCTATAATAAAGACCGAGATTGCAATAGATAGCATGGAAAAACAAACCACTATCATTTAAAAACAAAATGTCTTCTTACTTTGAAAATGAGAGTTTTATAAATGAATTACAGACCAAAACAACAACAAAAAATATCCCCAAATGAGAGCAAATTATTTATTTTATTTTATTTTTCTTTCGGATATACATAAAAATATACTAAGCTATTACTAAAAGAGAAATTAATTTAAAAGTCCAAAGATTTTAGAAAGCATTACTATGTTTCCTCATTAACTATTGTTTGAGCAATTTGTATATTTGAATCATTTTAGCTCTTTATTTTCTTAACAATCTATGATAAACTTTCTTACCTGCTTTTCACTTTGGCTATAAGGCTTCTAAGGTAAGTATTCTATTTCATGTTATATGAGGTGTTCTAGAACTCATATCCAAGTATGAACTTTCAGAGCAAATTTCCATAAATTTACCAAAATGTTTCCTACAATCAGAGTGCAAAACTGTACACACAGGTTTATTTATTCATTGTACTTTAGTAATTTACCAGTTACTTATAAAACTTCAACCTACTACATTTTTTTAAATATACAGTGGCTATTTCCTATAGTTCTAGGATCCGTTCTTCCTTCATTTTCAATTCATTTTTATATAATTAATGTCTTTATTATGGTCATAGAGTCAGATTAATCTCTTTTCCCTAAATATAGTTGACAGCCAGTTCTTTATAACTGAGAAAGAAAGAAGTGGTCCACTCCTTCCTTCCTTCTCTTACTAATCTGCAAAACAGTTCTATTTAGGATCCGGGGACAATGCCTTGGTTTTAACTACATAAAGATCTGAGGCTTAGGTTGCTGTTGTCTTGATTGCTCCATCTAGCCTTTCACATGTAATAATAAATTGGCCCCACATCCACCCATTAGTGATCCACAGGTAGATTTGACTCATTTCATGGAAGAGTCTCATCAGTAGACAATTATATTTTCCTTTGGTAATGAAGAACCAACCCCATCTTCCTATTCAGTCCAGAAGCTTTTTGCTCTCCCATACAAAGAGGCTTTCATGGACGAGAGTTTTACCTTGAAAACCCAACTATTTCTGCCCCAGAGACCGGGAAATAGTACTAACAGGGTTCTGGGTACTAGACTTCCAAAGTATAGTAAGTTACTAATAAATTCACTGACTTGCTATCTTCTTTCTCAGCTCCTGCTCACAACTCTCTTAGAGAGGAAACAGCAATTTCAAAAGCCCTAATGCTGAAAAAAAAACTTGACTAACGCTTGCCTGAGTTGTTTTTGGAATGGGAAGTGATATAAATCCAGTTTTAGGGAAGCCATTTTTGGAGCAGAGAAAGCCTTCAAAAAGGGAAAGAAGACTTAGCTTCAGAAAGAGAGATCTTATCGCCAATTTCCTTGGTTCCTGACAAATTTTAGGATCCCAGGATCCTAAATTTTTGCCCCAGGATCCTAAATACGAACTGTTTTGCAGATTAGTAAGAGAAGGAAGGGAAGAGCAGACCACTTCTTTCTTTCTCAGTTATAAAGAACTTCTTGATTCTAGTCTCTCATGAAGCCCAACTTTGTTTACTTCAATTGGATTTAGTGAGACACCGGGCAGTATACCCCTCTTCCCTGAGGACCAGCCCTAGAAGCACCATACGGCCATTGTCTCTCAATGTTCTGTTACTTTCTTGAAGAATATCACAGCAGCTATAATGATGTGCTTGGGACATCCCAAGCACAGTCTCTTCCTTAGTCTTCAGAAAAATTCTCTGCTCCTTTCTCATCTCTTCTGTCTCCACTTTCTCCTCAATGGCACCAATCTCACCCTTCCTATACTAGGTCAGCCTAGCATAAGAGTTTAGGCTTTCTAAACCAAAAAACCAGGAAGAGAATTGACTTCAGGCTATTTCTGCTTTGACCCTGCAACTCAACCACACTAAGGCAGAGGAAAGCAAAAGTCCAACTCCTTTTTTTAAAAATTGGCAAGGACAGGGGCCAGCCCAGTGGCACAGTGGTCAAGTGTGCACGTTCCCTTTCTGCAGCCTGGAGTTCTCAGGTTTGGATCCTGGGTGCAGACATGGCACTGCTTGGCAAGCCATGCTGTGGCAGGCATCCCACATATAAAGTAGAGGAAGACAGGCACGGATGTTAGCTCAGGGCCAGTCTTCCTCAGCAAGAAGAGGAGGATTGGCAGCAGATGTTAGCTCAGGGCTAATCTTCCTAAAAAAAAAAATTGGCAAGGGCAAAATGTAAAAAAAGATAATGTAAATTAGTATATTAACAAACTATATCACCCTGATGTATATATATTAAGTGTATATCTGCTACTTGCAAATGAAAAATTATTGACTAAGGGAAAAGATTATTGAAAATAACAAATGGCTGTTATCACCATGTCATTACCAGAGCCAAGTCTGATGAATAAGGTGGTGTTCAAGATGGGTAATTCAGTTTGGGATCCAAAATGAGCTGTAACTATAGAGTAATTAAATTGACATTATTAATGACTTGCAAGCTGGCTCTTAAATCAATTCCAAACCATGGAAATGACTATATAGCTGCCCCAAACTACTGTGATCGACAGCTTTTATTTGCATATAAAATTGCTGGTGATGTATTTCTTTACTTTTCAATAATATCAATATGTCGTAATTCATTATTCAACAAGCATTTGGTGAATTTCTATGTGCCAGGAACTGTTTTAAGCACTAAGGATACTTTGGTGAATAAAACAAGCAAATACAAAAAGTGCTTGTCCTCATGAAGCTTATATTCTCATGGATGAAAGCATATAATAAACAAAATAAGTAATTTACATATCATGTTGCATGGTGTTAAGTGCCATAAAGACAAACAATTCAGAGTGAGGAACAGGGTAGAAAGCGTGTGGACAGGGGATGGAGTTCTAAATACGGTGTTCGGAGAATGTCTTGCCAAGGCAACATTTGAACAGACTTAAAAAAGGTGAGGTTACAAACCATGAAGGAGGAGTGTTTTAAGAACAGACAGTAAGATTGAACATGAGGCATATTTAGGACAGCAAAAAGGCCAAGTGGCTGGTGTCGAGAGGGCAAGGCAGAGAGTAGCAGGAAATGAAGTTAGCTAACAGAGAGCTGGGTCACAAAGCCCTTTCAGACCATGGCAAGGATTTTGGGTTTTTCTCTGATGAGATGGGAAGCATTTGTAGGGTTTGACATGATCTGATTCATGATTTAATGGGATTATTACAGCTGCTGTATTGAAAATAGACTGAAATATGTGAAAGGTACAAATCAGGGAGCCAAGTGGAAGGCTAATGTAATAATCCAAGAAAGAGGTGATAGTGCGTTGGACCAACACGTTAGCAGAGAAGGTGAAGAGAACTGGCCAAATTCAGGATGAAATTAGAAGGTAGAACCCAGCAAAATTTGTTGCCACATTGGATACAAAATGGGATAGAAAGAGAGGAGCCAAAGATGAGTGACGGAAAGGATCAATAGGCCATTTAGAGACTGGTCAGAATACAGATCAAGCATATTTGGAGCAAGAAGACTGGGATTCCGATTCTGGATGTATTAAGTTTTCACACTTATTAGACAATCAAGTAGTACTAGTCTAAAGACCAGGGCTGAAGTACAAGCTAGAAATAAAATGTTGCAAGCCATGATTCTATAGAAAGTATTAAGATTTTTATTTAAGGCCCCAGAATTTACATGCTAATTTACAGAATTTTGTCTCGTAGCAATATAAATCACTTCTGTCCAGTGGAAAATTATGGTTTATTATCCTCTAAGACATTAACCTGTTGTGTATCTAATCCTGAAACTTTGTCTTAACATTCTGCAATGCAATTCTGACACTAACTACCTGGAGTTAGCGCAGACTTCACAGGTTGAGAGCTCAGTCTTCCACAAGACTGCTCTTACTTCAGATACCAGCTGCAAGCTCCAGAGTTCCCAGGACGCTCATGGTTATCACCAACTGGCTACAAATTGGAGGTTCCCATTACCTCCCCAGATGTGATAATTTTCTAGATCGACTCACAAAACTGAGGGAAGCACTATCCTTAAAATTGTAGTTTTGTTTTAAAGGATACAAATCAGAACCAACCAAATCAAGAGACACATAGGGTGTCCTAAATGCAAAGCTTTAGTGTCCTCACAATCTGTCACCCTCCCAGCACATCAAAGTATAGCACTAACGAGGGAAGCTCACCCAAGTTTTGGTTTCCGGAGGTTTTTGGGGGTTTTATTACATATACATGATTCATCAAATCATTGACCACGAACTCAATCTCCAGCTCCCTTCCCCTCCTTGGACATTGGGCTGTTATTGTCTGGTTCTAAGCCCCAACATTCCAGAATGGCCAGTGCCCATCCTGGAACTATCTAGAGGCCCACCATGAATAACAAAGACTCTCTTATCACTCAGGAGATTCCAAGGGTTAAAAGCCCCCTGTCAGGAACCGGGGATGAAGAGTAGACAAACTGTTATACAACACATTTCTGTATCAAGTTGCCTAGAAATACATAGCTCCTCAAATGTTCTTTGAACTAGTTTTAATATCTTACTGGTCCTTCATTGAATAATGAGTCCAATAAAAATATTGTACACATATTAATTATATATTTGCATGGAAGTCAAGGTTTTACCTTTTTGAAAATAAAAGTTTAACAATGGTATTAAACAAGATACCCAACAGAGTAAATCAAGAAGAAAGAAGCTCCAAGGAACAACCATTAAGCACTCTATGTGAAGGTATAAGAGATAAGAAACAATCAGCAAAAGATTCCTCGGAGTGCCTCAGGGTCCAAGAAGAAAGCTAGGAAACTATGCTCTCCCAGAACCCAAGCAAAGAATGTAGTTCAAGGCGTTTACTGGTGACCCTGAGAAGAGCACTTTTGAAAACGGTGAGGTAAAGAGCATTTAGAGTAGGTGTAAGAGGATGATGGAACAATGGAATATTATTCAGCTGTAAAAGGAGTGAAGTACTGATTCATGCTACAGTACGTGTAAGCTTTGAAAACACGCTAAGAGAAAGAAGTCACGTATTATAAAAAGGTCACGTATTGTAAGATTCCCTTTATATGAACTATCCAGTATAGGTAAACGTATACAGCAGAACACCAGGGGCTGGGGGAAGGGCGAGATGGGGAGCAATAATGGGTCCAGGGTTTCCTTTGGGCTGATAAAGATGTTTTTGGAACTGGATGGAGGTGGTGGTGGCGCAACATTCTGAACATACTAAATACCACTGAATTGTTCACCTTAATATGCTTAATTCAATGTGAATTTTGCCTTAATAAAAAAAAAGAAAGAGAGAATGGATGGAGAGAAATTAGAGAGAGCGTAGACAACTTTTCTATAAATAGAAGAGATGTGCTGTAAAGGAGAACAAAAAAAATAGGGCTGTAGCTAGAGGGGGACGTGGCGTCAAGCAAAGATTATGTTTATTATTTTTAATGGAAGAAGTAAGAGTATATTTATAAGCTAATGGAAATGGCCTCATAAAAAGGAAAAATGAAGAGAGAGAGGAGAGAACAGAGTCATTCTATTTTCCACATATTTTCTTTTCATTAAAATGCAAAACAAAACAAACAACCTGCTTTTCAAAATCCACTTATGTAATATTAAACAAACTGCTCCTGGCATCTAATCCTAGCTCTGCCACTCTCTTGTTCTGTGTCTCCATGAAGTCTCTTAAATCCCCAGAACCTAAGCTTTCTCATCTCTAAAAGGAAAGAACTGAACTGGACTATCCCTATGTATCGTCTTAGTCCCACAGTTCTACGATTCTTTGATATTCACTGATTTATTACATTATGAGATCTGAGAATATCTTTATGAAGTCTACTCTGTCCACATTCATATCATTGGATCGCCTCAAACTTCCTTTAAAAAAATTCAAAGCTATACTGATTTATAGCAGACTAAATGAACGGAACACACAGGATGAGCAAAGAACTTAAGACAAGCTAGATGCAATCAGAGACATCTGGGTGGATTTAACACTACAGCTTAAGAACATCTGGATGATGTTAGTACTCCAGTTCTGGAAATCATACATTCCTAAATCTGACATTACTTTGGATGAGGAACTTGTATCCTTAAGCTGCAGATGCTTCATTTTGGCAAGAAAACCTGATAAGCCCAGGCAAGAGCACAAAAGAAAGAAAAATCAGAACATTTCTAGCATGCGATGGTGGACGATCTTAATGCAAAAAGCTGAGATCTAAATATAAATAAAGTGATTTTTATTTGTAGACTACATGTATTTGATAACCCATTGACACATCAAATTCAACGTGCCTGAACGCAAAATATTACATTTCTCACAATCCTGTTGCGTGTGATGTACCAATTTTCACTGCTGTTTTCACCAGTAGCCAGGTTCAAAACTTAGGAATAGTTTTGACTCTCTTCCTTTTTGGGGCCCTTTCCTACATCGAGTCATTTGTGGGGGCCTCTAGTCTTCTATCTGTGTCTTGTTCCTGGCTCCTTTCTCACAGTATCACTGCTACTCTCCTTGTCACTCACCAGTATTACTGCTGACTCCATGTCACCTGGAGCCTCAATTGCTGTAAGCATTTCCTAACCATTCTTTCTGCTCCCCACATTCCAATTCATGCCACTTTGCCAATTAATCATTTTAGGAGTCAAGACCAACCTTTGTGAGACTGAGCTCAAAAAGCCCTAATATCTGCCCCCGGTGGGATTCAGACCACAGGCTGAATCAAGTACCAATGAATAGAGCCGAAAGACAAGTCTTCTTGAAATGTGGCCCCATCCCTATTTCTAGTACGCTAGGATGAGCACCTTAACCTCCTACCAAATGAGGCTACTCATATCCCAGCATAATGATAATAATAGTTCTTCAAACTTTTCTTTTTCATACTTCAACGTCATTACCTATTCAGGCAGAAGCATCAGTTTTCATGGAGAAGGTTAAGAAGACTCCAGCAGAAATGGAGAGAGAGTGTCTGCCGAGTTTTTACTTCAATGCTGGGTCAGGAGAAGGACATGGCATGGAGACCTTACAACCAGAAGGTCTGGCAGGTCTTTGCTGTGACCTCGGCACACAGGACACACAACATCACTCTCTCTGCCCAGATTCCCCACCACTCCTGTGGTAAATGAAACTTCACAGAAGGACTCCTTTCAGGGAAAGCGCTCTATGTTGTTGGAAGCAAGACTATGAAGAGGCCCCTGACCAGGCAGGTGAGGTGGACAAAGGGCAGCTCTAGAAACAGAAGGTAGCAAAATTGTCTTTCAGGAGGTTGGTTTTTTCCCTATGAACGCATGGTTTTACTCCAGGGGATCTGCCTTACAGAATCTCTACTAAATTTCACATAGGTAACCAATGTTTTTGGAGCATTTTGGCTTTTTAAAGGAAATTTGAAAAGGTACTGAAGGCAGTGCCAATGTTGTCACACAGCGAAATCAGTGATATTCTCTTTGGACAACCATAGGAACCATAGGATTGGGTTGATGGAATTGTCCTTGAAAGAAAGGAAACAGCAGACTTCTAGAAGATCATATTAGGTCCTTATATGGTATATAATTTTGTGTTTCATTGTTTAGTATTGATTTGTAAATTAGCTGGGAAAAAAACACCTATTCTGGATGAAATGTTGAGATTTGATAAATAGTAATTGTAAGAAACATAGGGGGCCAGCCCCATGGCCGAGTGGCTAAGTTCACACACTCCCGCTTCGGCGGCCCAGGGTTTCGCCAGTTCAGATCCTGGGCGCGGACGTTGCACCACCTGTCAGGCCATGCTGAGGCAGCACCCTGCATGCCACAACTAGAAGGATCCACAACTAAAAATATACAATTATGTACCAGGGGGCTTTGGGGAGAAAAAGGAAAAATTAAAAAATCTTTAAAAAAAAAAAAAAAGAAACATAAAAAAAGTGTTAGTCTCTTTAGTCAAATTGGTTTAAAAGTCCTTAACTGTTCACCTGGCAATAAAATAAATTAGAGGAGGGCTAGTGAGACAACCATCCATGAGGCCAGGAAAAAAAAGCTTATCATTCATAAAATACGATAAATTCGAACATATTTGTAGTCAAATTGCTCTTAAAATTCTTAAAATAGTAACAGAAAATAGATAAAAACTACAAAAGTCAATGGTAGTAGGCAAACTGGCTTTAGTCCTTTCTATTGGTCTGTTAGTAGTAATTCAAAACAACTGAACTAATCCAAGCTTAAAAAAATAATTAAAAAAGAAAAAAACTCTGAGGCCTAGGTGTGCTCCTTATTCCTAACACCAACATAACACTTATTAAATGCAAGTTTTAAAATATATTTGATCCTTAAAGGAATTCTGAGAATTAGGTAAAAAGATGTTATCTGCCTCATTTGATAAATGAAGTTGAGAGCAAGAGGGAGAAATCGGGTTCCCTCTGAAGGGACAGAACTCATGAGGAGTAGAGTTAGGAATGTGAACACAGATCTCCTGATCCGTTCCCAGAAGCAAATGATCAGATTTGCTTCTCTAGAAGGACCAAATTAATCAAATAATTTCTCTCTTTTCACTACTGTTATAGCGAGAGCCACGAAAACAAACATTGAGAGAGATGTTTTTCAAGAGATTTTTATTTTCCGTATAATCTGGTAAATGATAAATTATCTACAAGAATTACTGACCACGTCAACGCTGCTGATGGCTGACATGACACACAGGACCATTCAGGATCATTTGGTGATGGAGGTTTTTTTTCTTAGTTTGAAATTGTGGTGATAAGATGGATAAGGTCATTTAAAGATGGTGACATGTGGTATCCGTTAACAAATGCTGGGTCATATTTAAAACATGCTGAGAGCAGCACAGAGGCAGGGACAAAATGTTCTTAGCTTTTGGAGCCTATCTCTTCCTCTGTATAGATTTCCATCAGTTGGTTCTATTAGGTAAATTACATCTGACCTTTATATCCCAGTAAAGGTAAATGTAATTTAAGAGTTTATGAGCATGCGAGTAAGAGGAGAAAAAAGTCCATTGTGCAAAGGAAGATTTGTGAAATAATGACCCAGGAGGCTTCAAATAGATGCCCCCTGTATGGACTTCTGGTCCAATTCCTTTGGGGCAGCCCAAGGGGATAAGAATTTTGTTCTTTGTTGCTTTGCTTTTTTCCTCTTTAAGCTAAATCTCAGAGCTGGAACCTAATTCCTTTCTCTTGGTCTGAGTTGTCCCTAGGGAATCACCCATTTTTCCTAATTGATATGTATTGATAGCAGCACATGGACAGTAAAGGCATGGTGGGACAGGTATTCTCATACGCTGCAGTGTAGGTGTTGGTACAAGCTTTCAGGAGGAAAGTTCCCTGT